CCTCCAGCATTGCAGAGCCTGTGTGCACCATCCGGTGTGGGGGCCAGCTCTCCAACCTGCTCACAGCCCCCTTCAGAAACTTTCTTGAAAAATAAGAAAAGAAAGAAAAGAAGAAAAAAAAAAGAAAAAAAATCAGGAAGTTTTATGCAAAGACAAAGCACTGCAATGTTTCAGCTCATTATTTCTGCCTCCTGGCACACTCAGGGCTTTTCGAGCATCTCTGATGCTGGTTTAAATTGGAGAGGAGCGCGGCAGATGTGCCGTGAAGGATGCACCCCTTCTGCACTGGCACTGCCATTGCACCACGGCCAGCCTGACCCGGCACGTCTGCGTGCTCACACACAGCATGCATGTGAGTAAGGCGTTGGGCGGTGAGTGCTGGCCAAGCTGGGGTGATTCACGTGCAAACAGCCCAGGAATTCGCCAAATCGCACGGGGGTCATGGGTGCAACGGGGTCATGGGTGCAACAGGACATGGGTGCACTAACGCAGGGGGTGCTGTGCGTGTGTCACCCCGTGTTCACGACGGTGCCCCAGGTGTGGGCTGCACGTCACAGGGCTCGCGGCAAACGTGTGCACGCAAGAGGGGATTTGTGCTATTTTTATTGACCACTTGCAGGCTGGCTGCAATTTAACACTCCCCCTCCGCCGCCGGCCCCGGGCAGTGCGCGGCTCTCCAGGGGCCAGGCATCACCTCCCTCCTGCACGGCCGTAAGGTAAGGCGCTGCCCGCGGGGTCCCCCCACCTGTGACTCCCCGGCTGTGCTGGTGGTGACACAGGCACGAGCGTGAGACCGCTGGTTCTTGCACGTGGCGGTGTGGCAGAGAGCACCCCCCATGCACGTGAATTTTTCACAATTTCTCCCCCTATCTGAGGTTGCTGGGACATTGTCTCTGCTCTTGGGGAGAGGACTGGTGAGACTGCAATGGGGATAAATACCGCTAAAATCCCCAGCCTGGCTTTGGAGCTGAGATTCGCTCAATTTTCCTGAAAAATTGGCAAACAGGACTGTTTTGGGGAGCATCTGCCCATGTGTCCTAGCCTGACGGCTCACGGTCCCTTGTGTGACCAGGGAGGGTTGGTCCGGGGGTGTGAGCAGTGTGTGGGGCATCGCATTAGCTGGGCGCGTGTTCGAGGTATGTGTCCGGTCCCCCGGGATGTGGGAGGATGTCAGGATTCACTGGGGGTTATTTCTTTTAAGGATTTCCGTGATTTAGTGGTTTAATAAGCTTTTTAAGCTTTTCATGGCTGGGGGGCACACAAACAGTGCGTAATTATCTTGTCCAGATCCTCTTGTCCCCATCAGAGAGCAAAGTCTCTTGTGGATGCTCCAGATCCAGCTGGAGCCCAAAAGTCCCTGCAGGAGATTGCTGGGGACGCCTGACCGGCACAGCTGAACCCCAGCTGTCTTCTGGGAGGCCAATTTAGAAATATCTGTCCCTAAAAATTGACTGACCTTGGTAGAGGTCGTCAGCCCGAGGCGCGGTGTGGATCCCATCTTCTAGGGACGCCACGGCGGCTTTGCTTCGACGGGGAAGGCAGGAGACACTGAGAGGCTTTGCCCAGCCCTTGCTCACTCCAGAGAGACAAAGGCTTGTCTGCCTCCCTCAAAATAAATCAGGGGGGAGCAGCTGGGACCTGACCCACTCAATGCACCAGTGTCAGGCAAGAGGAGCTGCCTTCCCCGCGTGTCCTCTGGGACGTTTGTTGTATCACCAAAAACCTCCCAAACGGCAGGAAACTGGCAGCTCTGGCTGCATCTGACTGATGTGGCTTTGGGGAGGAAAAAAAAAATCCTGTTCTTGGGGTTTTTCCTTGTAAATCCAGGGATCTGTCAGGCTCTGGGGG